TCAGGAATCATGATATTATTTAGAACATGAAAATTACTTTCAAGCTTTTGTATATTATACCAATAGTAGTAATTCTAATTCCATTACTAGGTTATTAATAGTGGTACCACACTGATGACTCAGCAGCAAACTCGAAAGTAAGTCTCACTTCTCCCCCAAAGAAAGAAAATTACATAGTCACCATGTTTAAGGGTTCCATATCTGATGCTGTCAAGGCCCTAGCATGATTTATAATGTGGTTTAAAGACTATGTCTTCATTTTTATGAAATAATATTATACTGATTGTCTATGGCTATAAAGCAAATTAACCTGAAAATTAGTTAAAACAATGAATATTTATTATCTCTTAGCTTCTGTGGGTACCTCTGGCTCAACATCCTGGTATGGCTGTATGTAGGCCACAGCTGTAACCTCATCTGAAGAACTGACTGTGAAAAGATTTGCTTTCCAGTTCACCTACCAGGCTGATAGAATTCTGGGCTATTCGACTGAAGGCCTCAGTTTCTTATACAGCCTTGGAGCCACTTGCAGGTTATGCATCTTTATCTGTTTATTATTTTTCTGCTCAATAATAAAATTAGTTAACCGTAAAAAAAAAAAAAGATATGAACATTGGTTTCCTTCCACAGAGATTTCTTCATATAGAAGCTCACATCATAGTAGCTGGCTTCCATCAAAGCAAGTAAGTGAGAGAGCTAGAGCAGGTGACAGAAGTCACAATACTTTGGTAACTAGACTTAGAAGCCATATCTCATCATGTTAGAGTATTATATTCATTAGAAGTTAGTCACTAGATTCATCCTACACTCAAGAAAATGGGACTGCTACAAGCATGTAAATACCATGAAGAAGGCATTATTAGATTCCATATTGCCTACAATGAATAGTCACCATTTTTTTGCATGTTAAGGAATTTTTTCTATATTGCTTTAATATTTAATTTATCCTCCTATTCAATGATATTTATAAAATAAAAATGATTCTTCTATCATAAGACTTGTTAGGTCATCAGGTAACTAGCTGCTCCAGATATGTATGAATGGGATGCGGAATCCAGACTCAAAGAGTTAGAGGGAAAGGGAAGTTTTCTTAGTCCTAGGAGCATCTGAACTGGGGTTGGAGGAAAAATAGATATTAATTAAGAAAGAAGAAGATGAAGTAAGAATGCTCTAAGCAGAGAAATAAACAGATTCATACAAAGACCTGATGATGAGAAAGAATCAATTACGATATTTGATATTTATACTACAATCTTATCAGAGTAATCACAGTTTGTTGTTACTCATTTTGTATTGTGGCAAAAAATACTTAACATAAAATTTACCATTTTAATGATTTAAAGTGTACAGCACTATGGCATTCATACTTGCCCAACTATCACTACCATTCGTCTCTAGAACTTTTACATCTTCCCAAGCTGAAACTCTGCACCAATTAAACACTCATTCCCCATTCCTGCCTCTCATAAGAGGATCACCATCTGACCATCTGTCTCTATGAATCTGCCTATTTTAGGAACCTCACATAAGTGGATTTAGACAGTGTCTTTCTGGCTTATTTCATAGCATAATGTCTTCAGAGATCATCCATGTTGTGGAAATGTGTGGAACTAACTTTTTTTTTCTAATTTTTTTACTATTTTTTTATTCACATTTGCATATATTATTTGGGTAATTTCTCTCCCCTGCCCCCCTCCCCAACCATCTCCCCCCTCGCCCCCCAGTTCCAGGCAGGTCCTGTTCTGCCTTTATCACTAGTTTTGTTGAAGAAAAGAGACAAGGCTAATAAGGAAGACAAAGTGTTTTGCTAGTTGAGTTGAGGATAGCTATACAGAAATATTCCTAGCATTGCTTTTGTGTACACGTGTTATGACCCATGTTGATTCATCTCTAATTGATAAACTTCTTTTTAAGGCTGAATAATATTCCACTGTATGTATATGTGTTTTGTTTATTCATTAATCTGTTTGTGGATGTGTGGGTTGCTTGTAGCTTTTCGCTACTGTAAATATGGGTTTATGTGGTTATTCTTAATGGAGTTGTTTCATATTGATCAGAATAATTTTAAATATTAAACTTATGCTAATGATTATTTCTATTTAATCAAAGCTTTCTAAATTTGGTCTTGCAAGATATATTGGGCCTAAAAGTCTGACATTTTCCGATCTACCTACACCAACTACACTGCTTTTGTTTCTAATTTTGTTTCTGCTGAGGTTAGATCCTTGACTGAGTCTACAGCATACTAGTGACAGAGCAGATTTAACAACTATGCATTAATTTAGTGAATTTGATTAGCCCAATAATTAATTCAAGTTAAAATATCTCCTGCTCCTTATATGAAAGAGAAAATGCAGTGAAGGACTAGATTATTTTGATTCTCTTACTTCCTGTAGGCACTGAGTCTACAGATCAATAGATAATATTAATATACTTCATGTAACTAATCTTGTTCCCCTGACAAGTAAGACAAAAAATACTTACAGTATTTCAGAAGAATGTTTGGCATATAATCTTCATTTGCACAAAATAAACAGATTTGTTATTTTCCAGGAAGGATGTTAGGATAAGTGACTATCTGCAACCTTAGGATAGAAATCTGATTGTTATTAGAGAGATATTTATACATTAAGTTGATTATTTGATTCTGATTTTTAATCTTTTTATTATGTAGGCTATTGAACATATTGAAGAGTAAACAGAACATAGAAAATACCATCCATCAACACATGACCAACCTTTCAACACCCATATTCCTAACCGCCCCTATTCCATATTAATTTTTAAGTTTATTCCAGATATATCATTTCATAGATGGATATTTTAGTTTATGCATCTAAAGGAGAAGTAGACATTGTTTTAAAACAAAGCTAAAGTAGCATTTTTTTCCTGAATAAAAAGGAACAATATTTTCTTTTTATTAGTAAACAACTAGTCTTTTATTCTTATTTTTACTTTCTTTTTTAAAGCAAAAAACATCTAATTTTAGAATAAAAATTGTGAAATTAAGTTGACAAAATCCCCAAATACTTAAGAAGCAAAATGTACCTACAATAGGTGTACAGAAATATACACCTGAAATATATATTTATGTCCAGTAAGCTGTCGTTTATCTATCTACTATTATTTACTTACGATCTAAGGCAGTTAGAAGTTACATAAAATTAACAAAACTGCAAAATTTTAAAGTGGGCATGAAAGAAGTGGAGACATAGGTAGACCATAACTTAAGTAAAAAAGGGAAAAGAGTAGTGCTACTTGAACTGGGTCTTCTGCATTTCATTCCAACAGAAAAGCAAAGAATTGATTTGTTCCACAATTCACTTGTTCAAGATATAACTTAGAAAAAACAAAGACCAAAAGAAATTTCTTTTAAACATCTTCATTAAATGACATTATATAGTATCATGGACATTTTTAGCAGCGTTCTTATCGTTCGTATGTTTTTCATCCTTCAGTAGAGGATGAACACATCACCCTGCAATACAATTTCTTATAAAAAAAATTCGTAAGTGCTTAACAAAATATTATGTCTTCAACAAATATAAAAATCATGTTTAAATCTCTTCATATATAAAATTAGTAACAAAATTATTGAACTTAATGCTGTGTATGCAATATATACATATAGTATATGTATTTAACTTACTAGGATATTGCCAATTTTTTAAAAATTTGTACTGTTTCTTTGTAGTGATGGGAGGATTTCATTGCGACAGTTTACATATGTTCTTATAATGTACATTAATTAGATTCACCCCTCCTTTATTTTCTTTTTATAGCGAGATAGATGGATAGACAATTGGTGGTTCTCAGTCAGAGGTGATTTGACCCATCAGGCACATTTGGCAACAATTAGAATTATTTTTGATACAACTGGGAATGGGGGTGCATGCTACTGACATCTAGTGGGAAGAAACCAGAGATGGTACTAAACTTGCAGGACAGTTTCCGTCCTGCAAATAAAGAATTACTTCTTCCAAAATATCGATAGTGCCACTGTGGATGAACACAGGTGGGAAGGAGGAAGGAGGGAAGGAAGGAAGGAAGGAAGGAAGGAAGGAAGGAAGGAAGGAAGGAAGGAAGGAAGGAAGGAATGAATTATTATTCTAATCAAACTGTCCTATAAATCAGATGATACTTCATGATTTTTTGAAGGGATGAAAACCAGTGGCCTAATATTAATTAATGAAATAGCTATTTCAGGTATGGATAAAGTAGCTCAGAAAAAAGCAGTTTCTTACTTGGGCAGCAGAGTCAAAGGAAGTAATGAACAAAATGTTGAATAAAAACGGGCAGAACTGTTCTACAACAAAAGAAAGATCTAGAAAAAATTATTTTGAATTTGCTAAACATAATCTGTTGGAAATGGCTTTCTTTCATGTAAAGTGATGCTAAGACTGTTAATGCTTGTGGCATATTTTCACAATGAAAACTGATATCAGCTACTTTAATACAGACAGAATTCTGCTCATTTTTCTCTACACAGAACTCCTGGCAATAATTTACCTAGTAGTGCACAGTAGTTTGTGTAGATCAACGCAGCATTATTTAAGAGTGTTTAGAGGGCAAATTTTAGCTCCATCCCTTATATTAAAGAAAAAAATATTAGTTTGCTTCTTGAGAGACAAAATGTGTTTCGCTAACTAGATGCTTTATGCAAACCCAACACTATTTAAACTCACATGAATTCTTCCTGTTATCTGGCAAGATCCTTCTCCATGCCCCCAAATATTCTTAAGTCTGAGGGGAGTATAGAAGAGATGTTGCAAATCTAGTCTCATCAAATCAACAGCAAGGTATTTTCATTTAAATCAAACTTGAGTGTGATCTAGATTCTGGAACGGAAATACAGAGGAGAGTCAGTAGTTGTTATAGACTGTGTCTGCCTGCTTTGGCTCACAGACAAGTGAAGTCCAACTCTGAAATTTCAGGCAATTTGTATACCAAGCTCCTCCTTTTCTGCAGTCTTCTTTTCCATTGGTAAAATTCTTTTGCAGGGTCATGTAGGGATCCCACCCCTTCTCTGTGTTTTCACTCTGAAGCGCTACACAACTTTACACCTGAATGAACGCCAAACCTCTGTGGATATATAAAGGGAACATTAAGGAGGAATTTCACAGTTACAGTGCAGAAGCAGAGGGAAAGGAATTATTAACCAGCTCCTCAGCCAAGCAAATCCTCTACTCACCATGCTTCCTCCTGCCATTCATTTCTATCTCATTCCCCTTGCATGCATCCTAATGAAAAGCTGTTTGGCTTTTAAAAATGATGCCACAGAAATCCTTTATTCACATGTGGTTAAACCTGTTCCAGCACACCCCAGCAGCAACAGCACGTTGAATCAAGCCAGAAATGGAGGCAGGCATTTCAGTAACACTGGACTGGATCGGAACAGTAAGTGTGTTTTACTTGTACAGATTTTTTTTTTTTCTTTTCTGGTAGCATGAGCTCACATTCCTGTAGAATTGTTTCATTGTTAACTAACCTGAACCATATACATTTTGCAAAACAATCTGGGAGCAATCTGCTGCAAATGTAGGCAGGCATTCTTCCCTAGGTAGTGATTTTAGAGTTAACATAATTAAAATAGTGGCCTGATCAAACAAGCACAGACTTGTTTTATCAATCATCCACAAAATAAACCTATCTGGGAATTAAACTGTTGCTTCTTTAAAGCTATGGGAAAAAAATGAGAATTTTAAAAAGTATTGTTCTACATAGTTTAAGTTCAGGTTGTTTGGTCAGTTTATGTCAGAACCTGTGCAATTTGGGTAAAGTATATAAAGGTAACTCAGCAAAAGTATGTATAGGAAATTACAAGGGAAAAAAAGGAAGCTTTCAGAGAAAAAAATTGTTCACATAGATTTCTAAAAGATGTCTGGTGAAATAGCATTAAGTGTTGATGATGTTCGATGTAAAAGAGGGATAAAACTGAAAAACACTGGATAACCAGATTTTCTGGAGTAACTCTTTATTAACCAGGTCAAATTTTAGGAAATTGTATTTTTCTGTGAAAGACTGGGAACATTTTTGTAACTTAAGTGATTTAAAATAACAGTACACTAATGTTTTATCCAGGAAGCATTGTTTTATCCCTTTCTGTTTGCTTAATTGATCCACTAATTGACCACTAGTTAGGAGGATTCAAATTTCTTCTCCTAACTTTTGTTTTCCTTTAGAAGAGTTCACATGTTAATAATCAGGTTTTAAGAGAAACAGAGAGACACATTACACAGGAAATCTTGCACAACTCTTTTGTCCTTCCTCCTTAAACTCCATTCAACTTTTAAAGTAGTTTTGACCTTTAAAAGTCAGAGCAAATATGACTGTTAATGTCTTCCTAAGAATACAAAGGTGTTTCAATTTTTATGAAAGTGGTTGCTCTTAAATACATAGAAAATAACTGATTATTCTTAGATCACTGAGCAGTGAGGTGGTATTCATTGTCAAGGAGTGAACTGTCACTGCAAAAATGCCCAGTCTCTGTGTACACAGGAAAAAAAAGCTGGAGGAGTCAGCATCATTTCCAGCTGTTTCCAGGTGCATTTATTCCCAAGGCAGCTACAGGAAGGTGAGCTGGAATTAGAAGCAGACAAACCCAGAACAACGCCCAGCTTTTTCTAGATTGACATGTATGTTTGTGTAGGCACACATTGTTCCACGATTATCAAAACTCCTCTCACACTACATCTCTTAACCTCAGAAGTATTAGGGTACAGAGATGAAGTAAAACTAACTCACTTTCTACTCTGAGTTGTTTTCCAGTATTCTATGTAGAACCGCTTCAACATCTTTTACACATTGTATTTTTATGCTTTTAAACATTCTTTTTCTTGGTTAGCAAGCCTTACTTTCTTTTTAAAGTTATCATAGGTAATTCTCCTGAAGTTCAGATAACAAAGCAGTGGTAAGGAAAACTTCAATATTTCAAGATTAATTTGTGCTTTAATTATATAAGGCATATAACAAAAAACAGACAATTAGAGAACATACTTATCAAATCACAATAACTAAAACAAAAAAGTTTGCCATGAGCAGTATTCAGGAAATGAACATTGTGGTTCTTTTTGCAGTTGTAAATCAGACATGTTAGGTATTTTTCTGCCATAAAATTCATGGAAATGTAAGCCAAGTTGTTATGGCAACCATACGTTTCTGATTTAGGGGCTTTTATATTCTTTAAATTTTGAGCTGTGGTGGCATTTTGCATTTCAAGCATTTTACTATTTGTAATTTTTAAAACATAGCTGGGGAATTTATGTTTAAAAGTTGTTACTAAGTTTGATATGCAAAATGTCAGAAGTTTGTACTCGTATGTGTGTGTGATTCTATGCAGTTGAATTCTATAATTGAAATCAAATACGATACAGTGCATAGGCACCATACAAAATATTTAAATAATTTCCACATTTTCTCAACAGATTTCTTAAAAATCCTAATTAAAAGCACTGGCAGACCTAACCAATGCGACCCATAAGAAAGAGAACATTAAAGTGTACGCTTTGAAGAATGAGTATACACATAAATGGAAATGCTGCTAAACCCTTATTGAGAAATGAGACTAAGAAAATGTGATTTTCAAATACTCTAATAAGCAATTAGTTAATGTTGTACATGAAAAAAGAATCAGGCCTAGACCATTTTTCCTCCCCCACCCCCCAAAAGTTATAGATAGTTTTTATGTAAAGCGGTGAGCTGCTAATTTTCGTGAAAGTGTCTCTAACAAATATCTTGGCAGTTTTTGCACTGAAAGGGAAAAAGACGTTCACTTTTTTTTTGGCAATTTGCTGTAATGTGGATATTATTTTTGTCACTGCAAATTACTTTTTTAAGGCTTCGTTTGCTCTTTTTCTCTAATACATATTCTTTTCCATTTGCCGCAGGTAGAGTTCAAGTGGGCTGTCGGGAACTGCGTTCCACCAAGTATATCTCTGATGGCCAGTGCACCAGTATCAGCCCTCTGAAGGAGCTGGTGTGTGCTGGTGAGTGCTTGCCCCTGCCAGTGCTCCCTAACTGGATCGGTGGAGGCTATGGAACAAAGTACTGGAGCAGGAGGAGCTCCCAGGAGTGGAGGTGTGTCAATGACAAAACGCGCACGCAGAGGATCCAGCTGCAGTGCCAAGATGGCAGCACACGCACCTACAAAATCACGGTGGTCACGGCCTGCAAGTGCAAGAGGTACACCCGGCAACACAACGAGTCCAGCCACAACTTCGAGAGCGTGTCCCCGGCCAAGCCAGCGCAGCATCACAGAGAGCGGAAGAAAGCCAGCAAATCCAGCAAGCACAGCATGAGTTAGAACTCAGACTCTCAGACTGGACTAACTAGTTAACCATCTGCTTTACAGATTTGATTGCTTGGAGGACTCTGCCTGCCATTGCTATTTTCTCACTTGAAAGTCTATGCTTTCTGCTTTGATCAAACCCAGAAAGCTGTCCTAAGTATCAGGACCTTCTCTGGGAAAAGGTTTTCCTTTTCAAGTTTTTCAAGATGTATGAGTGCAATTTGCATTTAAATTCCACTCCTTCTGTAGTTTTAATTCCCTATCATTCTTAAAAGATTATTGATACTACATACATGCTGAATCATAACAGATTAAAGGAGAAAAGGGCCTTTCTTGCTCTCCATTCCCTAGCCCCTCCCCCTCCCTTCAAAACAGAAGGGTTTTTTTTTTTTTTTTAAATGTTGCCACTAATCTTCACAGCAACATTTCAGAAAGGTGCTTTTTCAGTAATTTTCATGGGAACAATTTAGCAGCCATGAGTGATCTTCCTTTGAAAGAGCGAGGAAGACCTTGTGACATTTCACTTCAAAAATAAGCCCTGTAGCTTTCTACAGTTTCATAGTATGAAATTATCCCCTGCATGCTGACCCTCACTTGGAATGGAATGCCAGGAATGCATGACAGCAGCTAATAAGTAAAGCTGATTATTTATTTGTCAATGTTATTATTTAATGAGCTTTCACATGTGATTTTTTCAAAATATTAATTTTTTTATGTTTTGCAACTTTTCATGTACCTAAATATTTTCCTGTGTGATTTGTGTTTGATCTAGAAATATAAAAATACATGTAGATATGTAAAATAAATATTTTAGTCTCTTTATTACACATATTTCATCATGAACTTTACAATAGTATGGATCTTTTTAAATTAATAACATGCTTTGTAAAGCTGAAAAGTGTAATACTTCTTACTTAGTCTGTGCAATCAGAAGGTAACTTGACTTTCTATTCTATTGGTTTCTTTTAACAAAATTAAACACTGTTAAAAGTTATTGCCCTTGCCTCTAACATGTATAAAAAGGTACATGTTTGCAAAAATGGTAGAATAAAGTTATAAGCATAATTGATTTTCGTTGTTGCCACTGCTGATGGGGATTGAACCCAAGGCTTTGCACATGCTAAGCATGCACTCTGCCACTGAGCAGCATCCCCAGCCCAACAAATGCTGTTTTTGCTAAGTCACATTCAAACTTAGACAGACATTTCTGTAATAAGAGGAGAGAGAGAGAGAGATACCAACTCTTAGGTAAATGGGATGCTTGCAAAAGTTGGGTGGCAGTCCAGCAGTGCATCGTAATGACTGGAATCAGACATATTAATAAGCGCTGTTGGGAGGGGGAGATATTATAAAGCTTCTATCCAAGTTATATCAGAATTTCTGGGGGTGGAACTCAGATACCAGTAGTTTTTAAAGTTTTCTAAGTAATCTCAATGTGCAGCTAATTTTGAGAAAGAAAGGAATTGTTAGGAAATCAGTATCTTATGTCAGGGAAGTTTGAATACTATTGTATGGTTCCCAAAACAAAATAAAAACAGTAACAACAAGCCCAAAACCATTTTTTTTCCTGTGATTTCAGCTTTGGAATGTTGTTATGTTAAGCAACATAATCATGGCCTTGGACAAAATTAAATGATTGATGTATTAATTCAATCAAATGATTGACTCCATGCCTCTAAAGGAAGAAAACAAAGAGGCTGGGTAATATATATTGATAAGATTTTGTGGGTGTTTCTCTTTTGGATGTTGAATACGGAGAGCACCTTAGTACTTTTTTAGTAGTAGGTTGTTCTTTTTGTAATTACAAATATAAAAATCACATGTGTAGTATGTAATATATATTATACTAAGCTAAATAATGACATTGGTATTGTCCCTTCCTTATGAGAGGTAGAAGAGTTTCAATATATATGAAGACAAAAAAACTTTAGAGTTTATAATGATGCCAACTATTGTATCATCAAATAAATAAATGGCAGTTTATTTATTATCTTGCAGTCTTAATTAAATCTTAAACTTTTATATTATATCATATTGATATATGGGTCATATATAATAATTATAGTATTGGTTAAAAATATCAAAAATGTATTATTTCATGCTTGTTTTACTTGTTTGACCTCGATTATGGAATATTAAATAGAACATCGACAACCTAAGACAACTTAACCGTTTTTCCTCCCCAATTAGATAGCATCTTCTATAGAAGACACTAGAGATGACCTCAATAATTGTTGTATCCTAAAATCTGAGGCATAAAAAGACTTGACCCAATAATGGCTTTTTACAATCAAGAAGATCATGCTTTTTAATAATAATAAAAAAAATTGAAAAACAAAAAGCCGAAAAAGTGGTGGAGAAAAAAGCTAAAATCTTTACTGAGTTTATTACTAATAGGGTACTACAAATACTTCATGAATGTAGTCTGAAACAGGAAATGGCATAAAGGAAGCTTACAAATAAGACTTCTATAGTCTTTGCTAAGCCAAGAATCGGATCTCTTTCTCATGGTCAATCACATCCAATTTGATGATCCATTCAGGTCATGTTACATTGGTGATGCATTCATTGTATGATATTTAACATCAAATGAGAGGAAAAGGTCACAATCAATGGCAAAGGCCTGGGATAAAATCCATCTCTCAGTGAAGTCAAAATTAAAAGCCAATGGAAAGCATAGTTTTATAGTTACTTAAAAATGATAAAAGACACTTGTGTCTGAATTGCTGAGTGTATTTTAGTTCTTTTTTTCCAGAACTCACATGCTCCAATCTGATAAGCTGTTCATAAATTTATTATCACCTTTGCAACTATCATATCAAAATGGCATGTTAATTCTAATTTTAGCAAGGAATGACTTCAATTTATTTTCAAAATATCTATCCATAAAAGGATTTGATTATCAAATTTATTTTGGCCCCACTATGGACAAAGGACTTTTTCAAATGCTTTGATAGATGCAAATACTTATAGATATATTATACATATAATGTAATAGACATATATAGCAATAAAGATAAAAGAAAAATTAATAACACATATTAATGAATGACATACATAGTGTGGTAGACCTAATCAAACATGAACATGGAACCTTCAAAACTATCTATTTGCAAAGAAGTTAATATTTTAGTTACTGTTTATATTTACTAATTTATGCTAGTTAAAAATAAATAATTAGAAAAACTGTTAGTCATATTTATTTTACTGTATATTTTTAAAAAGCAATCATAATTTGTGCATACTGTGTTTAGTAAAAACGTGGATCTTAATTTATTCTTTCCTTTCCCCAATGAAGAAGTCTTTATCAGGAGATCTTGAAGTATCACCCACCCCATAAATTGATATGATATTAGATTTTCTTATTATATAATATGATGTGTCTGTTGAATATGTTTTTAATAGATACTTACTGTAATGATCATTGTGAGTGGAAATAATAGTATTTTGCTGCAACAAAATCAAGAAACTTCCAAACTGCTGAATCAAAGTTTTTGAAAATTTACATTTTGTATATTGTAATTCACTTTTGCCTTCACCAGGCAATTTTAGTTCAAAATCTAGTTCATTATATCTGGAATTAGAGTACATTTGGATAAGATTTAACTCTTGAAAACATGTTAGTACTAAAATGGTAATTCATTTCACACCCTAAACTCAGCACTTATATGCTTTTGCTAGTTACACAGTCCTAGTAAATAGTGAGATGCATGGCAAGGTTTTGGTGGAATTCTCATAGAAGCTCAGAAGTTCAGAGGGAAAATGTATTAGGATGTTCAGTGCTAGAGAGTAGCAATACATTTCTTTTCCTCCAAGGCAAATAGGGAAAGCTTCCAGCCTGGTTTCACTGGAACCTATTAAAGTATAGTTCTATGTTATGCTGAATTGAAATGAGTCTAGATTTGTGAACTAAGTAGACATTCAAACACTAAAAATCTTTGTTGCATCCATGAGGAGAGACCTGTGGAAGAGACATACCCAAAGTCATTTTATTCATCAGTGTCATTTTTTAATTTCATTGGTGTGTGTAGCATTCCTACAACACATTTGGTGAATTTGCCTTTGACTTTAAAAATTATCTTAATGAGCAACAGGGTTACAACTACTGCAGAAACACCAGTGGGAAGACTTTTCAATTTCCAGGTTTAAGAACTGATTAAACTGAATTAATGCCAAGTTGACTGCATAATCATTTCCAGAGCAAATTAAACTGAGTGATATTTTATCATCAGCATTGGCTTACTTGTTGAAGGATTTATTTTCCGTGAACAAATGAGTGAAGCAATTTGGCAGATTTCTTATGGAGGAACTCAAAATATTTTCCTTCCATTTTAGTAATACAAACCAAGAATTATCTTGTGTTCATTTGTGCTTGAATCTGAGACAGATTCTAAATAGAATGGCATTGTCATTGGCTTAGACTATTTATCCAAAGTTTATCATCACTAAAGCTATTCAAGAGTTTGATGTGGCCTCACCATTAAAACATAGGCATCACCTTTTCAGTAGAAATTTATTATCATTAAGTTTATGCTAATTTAAAGGTCTTTTTTCTTACAATATTGGCAAAATTACCACAAAAATCATTTGAATTTTTTATTCACTACTTACTGATCTAAATTTGGCCTTAGAAGATATTCTAAAACACTGAACCTAGCTGTCCAATAACCAGGACTGTTTAACAATCCTCTACAATCACTAATAAACATTATATTTTGTGTTGAGTAGCTGACAGTTTAACTTGAGTATTCTGTGTAATTGCTTGCCTTATTTCTTCTTTTACTTTTCATACATAGATAATACACTAGAAATTAATTTGTTTGCCTTTTAAAAAACTTTCTCAAGCTCAAATGGTTAAAAGAAACTTTCTTGCCACAATTTTCTTTATTGAAAATTTCAGGAAAAAATTGAAAAAATGCATTTAATAATCTAATGAAAGGTTGTCATTTTGCTTGTTTTTCCTATCTATCCTAAGACTTGACTATTTTTGTGTTCTTTTAAATTTTTTTTTTATTTTTGAGGTACTGGGGGGGCTTGAACTTAGGGCTTTCACCTTGAGTCACTCCACCAGCCCTATTTTTGTGATGGGTTTTTTCGAGATAGGGTCTTGCAAAACTATTTTCCAGGGCTGGCTTTGAACCATGATCCTCCTGATCTCTGCCTCCTGAGTAGCTAGGATTACAGGCTTGAGCCACCATTGGTGCCTGGCTTTTTGTGTCCTTTTCATATCAATAAAGAAACATTTTGTTTAATCTGTGACTTAGTTTGATATTTCTAATAATAAATGAACTTTCCAGTTTGATTCATCTACAATGAATTTCAAAACACGTGAACTTGAAAATAGAAGCTCTGGAATCTGGTTTATGCTATGCTACTACTAATTTATAGGGTGAACTCATACTCACTGCTTCTGTTTCCTAAGTCTTTTATTTCATCAGTAAGGTAAGCATTTAGATGTCTAAAATGTCTTAAAGCTCTGAAATTTTCTCCTTTTATAGGTATAAATTAATTGCACAAAGGGATTTCATTGTGATATTTCCACATGCATATATTATGTTTTGATTAAATTCACTCATTTACTATTTCTTACCCTCTTTCTAATCTTTGTACTAGTTGTTAGTGAGTTTTATTATGCTATTTTCATAACATATAATGTACTTCTGCTATTTTCATATGTATATATGATGTATTTCGATCATATTCAGCCCTGTCATCCTCTCCCTTTTCCATCACCCTTTCAGTATTTCTTCCTCCAAAGAGTCCCCCAATTTTTAATCATGTCATATTATTATTTATTTTATTTTTAGGTGTAGATTCTATGGATGAGTGAAAACATGCAATATTTATCTTTCTAATTTTGGCTTATTTCACTCAGCATGATGATCTCCACTTCCATCAATTTTCCTGCAAATGACATAGTTTCATTCTTCCTTATAGCTGAATAATACTCCATTGTGTGTATAGAATACATTTTCTTTATTCCAGTCATCTTAT